CAGTCAGGCTTCCTCTGCAGTTTGACTCATTTCGGGGGATCGTGAATCTTGGATATGATTCATCTATTCCGACATGTCGATTTTCAAACGTAATTTTTGGCTTGCTATGTATTTATTTCCCTTCCACAAGTGTTTACTATTGGATCTTACTTTCCTATCACTTTGCCGCATTTCAGATTTGAAAGATTTTTTCATGTTGTACACATTTCTAACGATCTTCATCAATTTATTGGTGCTTTGGTGCAAATGGTTTCCCACCAAACGAAAAGGCTCGAACCTCGACGTCGACTTCGAGAAAACCTCAATCGATTATGTATACGTACACGTGGGAATCCATCGAATAGAAAAAATTCGTTGAAAGGAGAATACAGAAAATTTGAGTATATAAACGAGAAATCGACACAAAACTACTGAAGTGAATCGACACAAATAAGCAGGACAGTCCAAAAACAATATAAGAGATACAATCGGCTTGATACGCTAGCATACCATCCGTCAATTAACTGAGCCTCCCGTTTCGGTCAGTGTAACATCTGATGTTGATGAGGCTCAGGTCGAAACGAGACACAATACAACCAATCTTTTTGATTGAAAGCGGGAATCAAAGGAAATGAGGAAACGAATCCCAAATCACCCTATTTCCGAGATTTTGCATTGCGAGTCGCCACTTCGTGTTTTGGGGAGAGAGAGAGAGCACCGCTCCGATCTGATCTCCAGAACGACCAATAGTCAACAGTTTGACTGTGTCGATCGATCCAACAACCCTCCTTCTCCTCCATTCATAATTCCAATCATCCCTCCTGCATCAACACCGACACTAACACCAACAAAAAATGTAGTTCTCACCACTTTCCCGCCAACGTCCCCACAGCCCACACAAACCCTCCTCCCCCAACCGGCAACAACAACACCCAAACCCCGAAATCCCACACGAGCCTCTTCCTAAACTGTTTCTTCTGCAATGCCGCTTCCTTCCTCTGCAACAATGGATCGTTCGCCGAATCCGGTGGATCTGGTGGGAACCCCCCGGTGGCGGTCGAAGACAAACTTGCAGAGCCCTGAACGGTGGAGGCGGTGGCGGGGTTGGGCGTGTTCGGCGAGGAAAGGCTAGGCATGATGATGGACAAAGGTCGTTTGAAGAAATGGGTCGTGATGTGGATGAGAGCTGTTATTTTTGGTTCATATGAAATTGAGTTGGGGGGAATGTTCAATGATGATCAGTCATAATGGATTAAAGATATGAATACAAGCTTTTTGTATACACGTACCTGGCAAGAAATAAGTCGCCGAAAGCGCACACACGATCAAAATGTCACTGAGGACTCCCGTAATCTTAGCTGGGACCATCGCAAGGACGACGATCAGGAGGAAAATGATAATCTTGGACAGTTGAATGGTGACACTTCGTCTGATCCGCTCGGGAATTGGGAGTGAAGGCGTTGTGACGAGTATAGAGGGGATACCAAAAAAGAGAGTAGCAGATTTGAGGAATACAATGAAGGGGGCTACACGGGCACCTGGGGAATCTTCCTGCTTCAGAATTAAAAGAAGGAAGGTCAGTATCACGACTGCAGTAATAGACAGCTATACTCACGACAGTGGGATGATTCGGTGCAGCAGCGAAGAAAACTAAAGGTAGAGTCAAACAAACGGCTACGGCTACAGAAACGAGTGATATTGTCTTGAAGGATCGTGAGATTGGTGTCTTGTTAAAATTAGCAGACGAATGAGGGTGATAGTGATGGAGTTTGTTAGCTTTCAGAGAAGCGTACAGGCTGAGAGTGGTGGAAGATGTGAATGTGAAGGCTATCGTGGCTGTAAAGACAGGTGAATAAGTACAGAAACGGGAACGTGGTCAGCAACGAGGATAACATGCCAAGTGCATACAATAAGACAAGACGTACTGATGCTCTGCCATAACGTGCCCATTCTGAGATAGGTTGGGCTGACACCGAGAGTTCCTTTAGAATAAGCAAAGATAACGCATGCCAACCAGAGGACAAAAGTTGCTATTGAAGCCCAGGTTGCGTATACGACTCTCTTGGAGGCTAATGACTTTGCCAGGACCAAGGGGAAGAGGAATACACCAAGTATCAATGTCATGATAAAGACAGGGACGGGCGTAAGGTCGTCCGGAAGTAATGAAGGTAGCAAATGTGCAGCCTCTGAAGAAACAGAGAATTCATGTTAGTGTACGACCAAAAACTAACCGGGAAACGGAACCCGCATGTACCTCTCAGATAAATCGTCGCCAACGACATTCTCAATACCCCAGTCCCGGCCCTGACCAAGCTCCTCAAAATCCTCCTCCTACGCTCTTTCCCTCTTCCTCTCCCAAACGCATCTGCGACGATGTCTTCCAACTCGGGTTTGCGCATGTATCTCGAAAGCATGTACCATATCTGCCTAGCAAACGCAGAAAGAACCGCAAACAAAAATAGAGCGGGAAGTCCGAATTTCAAGGGAAGGTCGACGTTGGGAAGGAGCGTGGCACCTAGTTTGAGGTAGGGTGACAAGAGGTAGAGAAAGACAGAAGTTGAGGAGAGGGGTTGAAGGTTGGGACTTGTTAGGACGGGAATAGAGTCGAAGTCATCGATGTCGGGGGAATAGTCAAGGTCGTCCTGTTCCCGGGAGGTAAAGTTAAGGGGGGCCTCTTCGTCGGATTCATTGACAAGAATGAGGGCGGAAGTAGAGTCGAGACCGGCGAGGTTGGGGGAAGACCTGCCGGACTCCGAGTCAAAGTCTTCAGAGGAATGACGGGCGTGGTTCATGGCGGGCACATAGGCAACAGGGCGAGAGAAATCCTGCTCCGCCTATTGTGGAAGATTATTATGGGCGCTGAAAGAAAGTTTGAATACAAGCTGTCTAATAAGACATACTGCGGGCCTGGCCTTTTAGATACATTGTAATACCGATGACACAATGAAACGGAAAAATATAACAACTCTACAATCCGACCACTTCAATCATGTCTCCGTCCTCCAGATCCTGGTCTCCAATCTCTGTATCGTTTCCAACCTTATCCCCATCTACGCATAATGTGGGTATCTTCTGATCAGATGCGACTGTTGCGGCACCTCGTGCATTCTTCCTAGGTTTCTTCTTTGGTTTTGGCGCTGCCCCAGACGACGCGGCATCTTGCAGGAAGCCAGCATATTCATCCTTATCAGCGAACCCAGCCTTTTTCAAGAAAGCCTTGACAATAGCACCGCATTTTGTCGTTGGTCGAACGGTTAGGGTGATGTCGTTCTGCGTCTTGCCGGATCTCAGTACAAGTTTGAATGTTGGGCCATCGTCTTGATCCGGGGTCAAACTTGAAGCAGGAGCGGCAGTAGAGGTGTTCAGAGCCTCATTTTCCGAAATAAGTTCCACATCAGAACTCTCATCTCCAGCGTTGGAGGGTTCACCGTCTGAACCGAGGACAACGATCTCGTCGTCGTCGTCGTCACTCTCGACATGGGCTTGTTTCCATGTGTTGGATGAGGACGTTGGCTTGTTAGATGGGGGCTGTTGGGACGCAAAGCGGCTTTCCTTGCGAAGGTAGTCATAAGTCGTCTTGTCACACGCAACTGTAAATCATAAAATAAATCGGCACAAGTTCAAGATATCGAGGTGAATGAATACAAACCAAACTCTGCCTGGTCCCATATGTTGAGAGCTTCAGGTGTAACGGAAGGGAAGAATCGGTTGCCGCGAAGGGTCATGACGACGCTGTCTGGCAAGATCTCGGCTTCCTCCGCTACAGCGTCAAAGAGAGCTGAAAAATCGTCGTTCTAGAAAGATATACTGAGCAAGTTCTGCGACTATGACCCATACTACTAGGAGACAAACCTTGTCCAACCTGAACTCTGTGATAGTCTGCTTTCCGGTGAGTTCCTTTGGATGAGGCTGCCACCTAACCCGAACCGTAACTTTATCTTCCGGCCCTGAAGACGACCCTCGAGGATATGCATGTTGCTTTGAGGCATGTTTCCGAGCATATGCAGCTAGTTCGGGGTCTAGTCTGTTTTGGGTTTCATCCAATCTAAAGTCATCGTCCAATTCTGGAGTTGAAGTTGTATGAGAAACGCCAAGGGCTTTCCTATGATAGACGTCAGCGTTCGGGTAGTCCGATGGAAATTGGCAAGGGAAGGGCTGCGTACCGTACTATATTTCGGGCATTCTGTAATTGATGTAGAGGAACTTGCGGTGGTGGCGTTATAGACCTCGAACGACTTCTTGGTTTCTTGGAATCTCCCCGTTTTCGCTTCAGGTTAGCGTGAGGCGTCTTGTCCACGTCTTTTATGTCCAAGGAACCGTCCGAATCCTCGTCCGACGACTTATCTTGGGAGAGATAGCTGCGAGCACAACGCGTCAACTACCTAAACGCGCGTCAATGAACGCGTGACACACCGTTTAAACTTCTCGTTTCGCTCCCAGACAGGTAAATTGCTTTTCTTCTCTTTGCCTTTGCTTTTTCGACGCGGGGTCTGTTCGGTCTCGCTATCGTCGTCTGTACTCTCGGCAACAACAGCTCTAGACCTGGCTTCCTTCTCTATGGGTAACAAATTTACGCGTCAACGACCTTGATCTAACGAGACTGAAGACGACATACCTTTATCTAGCTTGTGCAATTTAGCCCACGTATCCTTATCCCTCGTCTTGTTCCTTATAAACATGTCATCATTGTCTTCCACCTCAAACTTGTCAGGTATAATGGGTGCACCAGGAGTAGGTGTCGGTCCATGAGCAGGTGCTTTGGCTTTAGGTTTGGGACGAGGACGGGGTCTGGGCTTTATTAGAAGTCAATAAACGATACATACAACACAGTACGAAATCGGTGATAAAGAATTCGAACGAACCTGAGAAGTCGCTGAAGACATTGAAAACGTGGGAATTATTTGCTTTTTTTGCGAGGTCATTCTCGGCAGTATCGGCACGGATGTGATTTGAACTGGCGCGTGCATTTGCCGAAGGAGCCTCTTGGTGTCACAAAATTCGTCTGCCCATTCCCTACCACAGGTTTCCTGGCGCAATGGTAGCGCGTTTGGCTTCGATTACCGAATGCCACCAAAGGTTGCAGGCTCGAGTCCTGCGGTGGTCGTACCCAGGTAGAGGCACTGTATATTTTTTCCACACTAGTCAGTAAACCGTGAGATGTGCAACCATGACGCAAATGCATTGAAGCAATCATTTCTTTCTTATGTTCAACAAACGCGTCCGGTCAAAACCCAGCAATCGCGCACGACCACCCTCGGATAACGAAGATGCAGATACCGAAGATGCTACCTCTGTCGCTGCCACGTCTGCTACAGACACCGGAGGAGAATCACCTCTGAGTGCCGTCAAAAAGTTCAAGGAAAAGACCAAAAAGACCAAGACTAAATCAAGGCTCAGTTTCGGTGGGGATGAAGAGGAGGTATGTAATGCCCTGTAACCGCTACAACGTCTTTCTATGTTAGCTCACGGAACTACGATCATAGGAGAGTAGTAAAGACGTGTTCCAACTGAAAAAGTCTAAACTGAGTCGGAAATTGACTCTGGGCCAACATCCTGCGTAGGTTTGTTTCACTCTCCTCCCTTTGACCTCTTATCGAATCGTATACTGTATCCAGCAGCCTCCCGGAAAACCTCGAACAAGCCAACATTTCATCTAACAAAGGCCCAACGTACGATCAAGCCTACCTCAATGAACTCAAAGCCAGTACGCCTTCATCTCGGGCTCCAATGCCTGCCGCACACGATCCTTACGACGCAGACGCGTCTATGGATATGGGTGATGTGTCGATGGAGAGTGTAGATGTATTTGGTGTGTGTCTCTCTCCATCTTCTGACTTTTCGCTATATAGACAGGATGATAAAGTAACTAATGAGACATTTCTTGCACCCAAAGAACCCTCCGAAACGGTTATACCTACGGAATTCTCTATCAAGATGGCAAAGGATAGACGCGAACAGGCCCGCAAAACCGGTGCGACATCGGAGGAATACATCTCTTTATCGGTTACGAGGCGAGACGAGGATCAAGGTCCTCATCCTGAGAGCAGACTTGTCAGAGAAGAGGATGAGCTTGGTGAGGGTGAAGATGGTGAGTGCTCCCGTCAATTCTATTTCTATTCACGGGTAGCTTGACATACGACTTGAAATTGTAGAATTCGCTGAGTACACCAGTGCTCAAGAACGCATTGCTCTCGGTAAGAAATCCCGAAAAGTCGAAGCCAGCAAACGTCGAGAAGTGATGATGGAACTGATTGCTGACGCGTGAGTCGCTCGCTCGTATATCGCAAAGACGCGTAGACTCAAAAACATCTCTTCCAGCGCGGAAGAAGACGAAGAAACGGCAGAATGGGAACAGGAACAGCTCCGCAGAGGAGGTCATAGGACACCCGAACCTTCGTCTACGGCCAAAGTAAAACAGATTTACAAACCTACGCCCAGTAAGAGTACATTATATTTAACTATTCTGTAGCTGATGGATGTCCTTTTTTCTCTTTGACAGTTCCCCCCGCAACCAACATACCCTCGATGGGTCCAGCGCTCGCCAGGTTAACGCAACAACTCGCTCAGCTCTCGACCTCGCACGCGTCAAACGTAGCCGCACTAAACTCCTTAGCTCAAGAACGCGACCAAGTTGACGAAAGAGAAAAGGAAATGCGCTCATTGGTTGCAAAAGCGGAGGAAAAGAGAGCTTGGTTTGGTTCCTTCAGAGAGTGGGTAGAAGGTGTTGCCGAGTTTTTAGATGAAAAGGTGCGCTCGTTCAATTTCCATCTCGTTCGAAATTCATTCTAATACCCCCGTTATGCAGTATCCGATGCTAGAAAAACTCGAGGACGAATACATCTCCCTGCTCCGGGAACGGTTCGATATGACCTCCAAACGTCGTCAACAAGACAACGAGGACGACCTCGCTCTCTTCTTCGGCAGTCTTCCCTCTTCTTCCTCTTCTACCCAAGACCAGCCCATGGAAGAAATTGACGAATATGGTCGTACGATCCCCAAACCCGATCCTCTCTCCCAACAACGCGAACGCAGAACCGCACGGATAGCGCGTCGTCAGCTCCGCCAACAACACCACCGACATCAAACTCATCAACCTTCCCAACAACGCCAGAGGGAACAAGAAGCGGAAGAGGGTTACTCAACCGATTCGTCTTTGCCCCCGGCTGATCAAAATGCTTACGAAACAGCAATCGCGTCGATCTCGACGAGGAAGGAGGAAATACTTTCGGACGTGAAGGCAAAAGAGTTCTTAGATCCTGGGAAAGGGCAATGGGGAATTTGGAGAGAGAAGTATGAGGATAGTTATGTGGGAGCTTGGGGCGGATTGGGGGTTGTGAGTGCTTGGGAGTTTTGGGCGAGGCTGGAGCTTGTTGGGTGGGACTGCATTGACGTAGGTTGCTTTCCCGTCTCTTTCCATTTGTGCATACTTAACCCGCCTCTCTTTTTTAATCTCTGTAGGATCCAAAAAGTCTAGACAGTTTCAAATGGTACCAGGGTCTATACGAGTACTCTCGTCCAGGGGACCCAGAAGATGAAGTTCAGGAAAGAGAGTTGGGGCCAGATGGAGACCTTGTGTCTTCGATGATAACAACGGCTATAGTTCCTCGACTAGCCAAAGTCATCGAAGGAGGAGCTTTGGATGTCTATTCCGACAAACAAATTAAGCGAGCGATTGATTTAACCGAAGAGGTCGAAGCTAGTGTGGAAGAGGGAAACGTAAAATTACATGTATGTTTCTTTTCCTCTACGTCTTTGTTTTCTCTGCCTATCTAATCTTTCGTCTTCGTAATCTCTAGATTCTGCTCAAATCCATAACCTCCTGCTTCCAGAAAGCGATCACCGAATCCTCCTCACCTGTCCAAACCCTCCTCCAGCTCTCTCAATCCGGGTCTCTCCCTCCACCTCCATTTAACCCCGAGTCTGTTCCTGCTCGTCAGAGGTTCCTGCTTCGACAAGCCAAGCTCCTGACAAATCTTTTAAGATGGAGAAAGTCCATTGGGGAAAAGTTCGGTGTGGGTGAGTTGGTGACGAGGATTGTGGAAGGATGCGTTTTGCCGGTTGCAGAGGGAGGTTGGGAGGTCGGGGGAAGGGATGTTGTTGAGATGGTAGAGATCCTTTTCCTTTCCATGTTCTCGAGTCTTCGAAATTTGTACTGATCAACGATGTTGCTTGTAGATTTCTGGTATGTTACCGAATGAGTTGGTACCGAAGAATGTCAAGACTCGTTTGGCGATGCGTTAGACGGGGTGTTATGGTGTTATGGTGACTAGCGGTTTGCCAGCATTCGGCACGTACTCAAGGAACGCATAGAAAGGTACTTGCTGTCCATAACTGCGAAATGTTATCGTATTGATGTCTCAGTCAAGCGTGATATACTTGCTAGCAGAAATACCTTCCATTACTCAGATTTCCAGACATGAACAAAAGCTGAGGTCTATACCTAAACGCTCAGCTTGAGCTACGCGAGTGATACGTCCTCCTTCGTACGCTTTGCGTACCCAAGGTGACAGTTGCGCACTGGGTCTTATGATTCAGTGATATCTCTTACACTGTCCACCTTTCCGTGCACTCGCAAAAGCAATATTTCCGAAGCATTTTTGGCCTACTTGACATACACTGATATATGGTGCTGTTCAACCTCAAGTGAGGCTCGTTCCGCTGTCGAACATTTCTGTACTATACATGAGCACACTTAGAGTTTGCCCTTGCAATAAGAATGAGAGAAATCTGGATCATCTCCATTCGCTGTATAAAATAACAGATAGTAAGTTCCCTATACGAAAAACAGCAAGTAACCAAGTACAGAAACAAAAGTGACTTTGTCGAAACAATCTTCGAGTTCAAGAAGCCCCCGCCGGATCGCTATTCCTCACTAATATTCGCGCGTTATTTACGAATGCACGTATCAGCTCGTCAAACGCGTGTCTCTCGTGCTCTGGGACGCTCGGATCATTTCTTTTGGCGGCAGTAGCCATTAAAAGCTCGGGACGCGCTATCTCTACTTCAAGTTCGTGTAAGACTTCTTGCTAGGAAATGGGTCATTTAGTTAGTTAGGAAGCGAGGGTTGGATAAAGGAGGTGAAAAAAAAAGGATGCAGTAGAATCGGATTTACATACCGTTCCACCCGAAGTAGAAGTAACTTGCGTCAAGTCGATAACGAATTCCTCATGAGTATAGCTCATCCTATCCTTCCTCCTCGTATGTGTGGCCGATCCCAAGGGATGTGAGACTTGAAGAATTAAGGAAAAAGAAAACCAAGATGCGAAGTCAAAAGTTTTAATATATCAGTTTACAGCAGAAAACCAAAAAAAGAAAAAACCCCCAGTTCAAATTGAAATCCTCACCTGGTACTTCCAAATTCACACTGACCCTCCAATCTGTCGCCCAACGCGGACTGACCACGTTCAAGTCCCCCAGCCTGATCTTTTTCATCACCTCCACCACGTTCCCTGTCTTCTCGTCTCTCGTCACGCGGATTTTGCTTTTGTCTGACCCTGTTTCTGAAGGGTAAAACGAATCGACTAGATAGAGATGGTTGTATTCAAGCGGTGTGCCGGAAGCATAGCCAGGTTGGGAAGAGGTGATTTTGAGTTTGTTGAGGAGACCGTTATAGTGTTTGTGTTGATGCTAAAAGTGCATAATATATGTATAATAGAACACGAGGAAATCGAAAAACATTAGACGTGAAAAACACATACTGCAGTCATATTCGATTCAAATCGACAGTCCACAGTATCTGGCCTAAGAACTGTATATTCATATATAACATATAGAAGACAAGAGAAACTCAAAACGCGCTTTTTCACTCACTAGTCTCCACAAGCACAGGTAAAAACAACCGCTGTCCTCCTCTGTCCTTCAAAACGCCAATCTTAGCTTCCACTTCCACTTTACCCGAGACGTCCTGAGGTCTCGTAGATATCATGTGATGGACGAAATCAGCTATCTCTTTGATGAACTCGTCTAGAGGTTCGACGCCGAGAATGGATAACGAAAGTGGGGGAAGAGAAGAAACAGTTTGTTGAGCATTTCCGTTTTCAACTTGTTTATCGTATTGCGAAGAGTGTCTGGCGCGTTTGGAGGAAGGAGGAGGATAGGTGGGCT